CACAATTCACCTCAGACACATCTTACATTTCACTAGACAAACATGCGACATCCGATTTGAGCATGTGGAGGATTTTCCTCACTTCTTGGAATGGGCGTGCCATGTTTATACCATCTCACTCAGACACTTCACCCACAATATGGACAGACGCTGCAGCAAACACGGGGTTTGCAGCCATATGGGGTGACCTATGGCTCGTGGGGCCATGGCCAACTGAGGTCAAATCACTCACAAAATTCACAGAGACCTCAGCTTTATTCGAATTGTACCCCATCGTGGCTGCGGCCGTTACCTGGGGCCGCCAGTGGTCCGGTCACACGGTGTGGTGCTATTCTGATAATATGGCTACTTGCCATATTGTCAATAAAGGCCGGTCATCATCCCTGGTAATTATGAGGCTATTGAGACGACTCACATGGATAGCAGCCACTTGTCAATTCTTTCTAACATGTATTCACGTTCCAGGGTGCACAAACATCAGTGCTGATCACTTGTCTCGATTTCGTTTTCAGGAATTCTTCACGACACTACCCACCGCCTCCAGACGGGCAACTCCAGTCCCACTTTTCACAGACATGATAATGGATTAAAAGCTTTGTTAAATCACGCACGTCACATTTCTCACATGGCACTCTCTGTAAACACTAGAAACACTTACGACAGAGCTTTTCACATATTCAAAAAATTCATCACTGAATTTCACATTCACGATATGTTCACGATAGAAACAATATTGGGTTTCACTTCTTTTTGCCACATCAACCTTAAACTATCATTTAACACTATAAAACTATACCTTACGGGAATTCAACACCACATGCTAATTCAACAACCCAACGCCACGAGTTTCCTGTCCTCATATCAAATCAAGACAGTTCTTAGAGGCATTAAGAAATTAGATACACATATCCCCGAGAAACGACTACCTATTGATAACCACATATTTCATGCACTAGTAAACTTGTTAGATTCCTCTCCTTTTGAGCCCAGGACAAACACGGTAATAAAATCAGCCATATATCTTGCTTTTTATGGATTCCTCCGTCCCAACGAATTCACAACTAGGACTATCACGTCCCCTGATTACCTAAGAATTATGGACTTAGCGAAACAGAACGACCATTACCTACTCACGCTAAAACACTCAAAAACCAGCGCCATAGGTCATACCGTTACGATCCCCTTATACCCTACTCATAACAAATGGTGCCCTGTACAAAATTTTGACAATTATCTATTATCACTCCACAAACAACCATTACAACCTTTGCTAGAACTGCACGGTAACGTTCTAACTACAGTAAAGTTTATGCTCTATGTAAGACTGCTGTTGACTAGACTCGGCTTGAACCCTAGTCAATTTTCGGGTCATTCTTTCCGAATAGGAGCAGCATCTACAGCTTCTGCTAACCACATTCCTCCGCACATCATCAAAACAATGGGACGCTGGAAATCTTCCGCTTATACTCTTTACATACCCAATCCTGTTAAAGAATTAAGACTAGCTTTCTGTGACTTATCTAAATAAAGTTTTGGTCAACGTATTACGTCTTATGATAATTTATTTTTGCCCACTTTTACAGGCCTACTCCTCTGTCGGTTTCGGCACACCACAACCGACTAATTCCAAATATTGATATGTTATCATATGCTATGTTTCCATATACGGCTATATTGCCACGACCACAAATTAAAAGGCTTGGCCTGTAGTTGTGGGAGGGGCTTGGTTTCCCTATAAAAAGGCTGCCAATCCACTCCCACATTACCGTAATGGTCTGGCGAGTCAACCCACCCACCACTCCCTCTATTACAAACACCCTCTAAGGTGGGCCCACTTTTACAGGCCTACTCCTCTGTCGGTTTCGGCACACCACAACCGACTAATTCCAAATATTGATATGTTATCATATGCTATGTTTCCATATACGGCTATATTGCCACGACCACAAATATATATATACATACATATATATATATATATATATATATATATATATATATATATATCACACTTTAAAGTTTCTGTATATGTTTTTGCAGACTTCTATATCCCTGTGAACTGAATATTTATCATCGGTAGTAACTTATTTATGTATGCACTTTCAGATTAAATGCCTCTTAAATAATATTCATATATTAAAAATTATGAGAGCAGGACACAAATCTTGATATAACTGTTACATATTGTCTCAATAATAGACACAGTAAGGAAAGTAATATGTACAAACAGAAAATTTGGGATTCATTTATGTATCTAAAATAGTGATAAACAAAAAGTACATAGTGAAGTATGTCAGAATATAAATGAACTTTGCGCTCTAGACGTACACTCACAAGAAGATGTAGAGTTTTGGGCCTCCCTTGATTCATGCTGGGGGGCTAAAACCTTCCTCGCCTCCTCCTCACTAGCAGTACGTCATGAATTAGAAAATGAGTAAAATAAGTCCAACGCGTTTCTTCCACCTTAGTGGACTTCTTCAGGGTCGCAATGAGCTAAGTTAGAATCAAAGTGCAATAGTGCAAAAACAATTGCCAAAGAAAAAAACAACAAACTCTACCCTTCCCTGTTCTTATAGAGGGCTAACCCCTAGTATTCATTGGTGGCTCAGTGGGTGTTTTCCACATTCTTCCCTTTATTGGTTGAAGCTCCTCCACTACATGTCTTCCTGGGCTCCCCCTTCCAGCTGAGTCCTGTGTAATTATTTTTGTTTCTTGGAATGCCATGTGTATGTGTTTCAGCACCATCTTGAATGCGTTCCACGGACGTCAAATCACTTCTGTGATCACATGATCACATGGTTTTTGGCTCCTTGCTTTCCAGGGCCATTTTGGATTGCCTATCGATCGCTGCATACAGGAACTAGTTTTGTTACTACAGAGAAATAGAATTTAACCAACTGTTAATTTTAAATGTTTAATATAAGAAAAGGGGGACATCACAACTTATATGTGGACATTTTATATAGACATACATCATCAAAAACATCAGAAGGGATTTTTTTATTTTGTTATAAAGAATCCTAAATTACACTAAAATGGATGAAAAAAGGGGGTTATCAAGATTACATAAATGTAAACAAGGAAATGAAATGAAATTTAAAGTAAAAAAAATAAATGAAAATGATACAAAATTATAATGAAATAAAATAGCAATTTGAGAAAGCCTTATTGGTGAAACGCGCAATGGTTATTTTAAGATCAATTAAAAGTTTTTGGTTACTTACTGTGCCAATTCTCTTTCTATTGTATTTTAATGCACTTTTACTTTCCTGGCTTTTTACTGTTGTTCCTGTACTTAAAGAAATCCCAGGTGGGTATCATACCACCAATGCTTTATTAATAGAGCAGTGTTTCTGCTCTACACTTGTAAGTATTATTTTAGTTACTCTTATCCAATTGAGAGCACTATTGTCACCTCTTTTTATCCCTATGTTGACAGAAGTTGAATAAATCAAAAGAACAAAGTAAAATTGGCTTTAACCCAAAAGCCACCTAGGGGTAGTTCTATAAAGCAATAAATAAACCAAATTTGTATAGTGATAAGGAAATATTCCTACGTTATTAAAGAAAACATAAAAATGGAATGAAATAGCATCTGTTCGTGGTTTAAAACTGTGCATCACATTAGTTTGTGAATACAGACTTAAACTTAAAATATGGTCACTGAGCTTGACCATAATGAAGATAAATAAGGCTGCCTGTTCAGGCTGTCTGGGATCACCGTTCGGTGGATGCTTTAAAGGGTTTTGTGATCACCGACCAGTCCATGGAAAGGTTCTTGAAGTCATGCTCTGGGTTTTTGGAGGATTGTCTGGGTGCAATGGGATGTTCCATAAGCGAGGATTGTATTGCTGTACGCCCTTCACAGCAGAGCTGGCCATAGCTCTTTTAAATGTGAGTTCTTTACCTTCTACTATTATTTTACCCTCTGGATTTTAGACGTATTGCCTACAGGCTGCCCCTGTCTCCTTGTCTTATATGCGAATACCCTGAGACACTAGGACGCATCCACTTCTACTAATAAGTCTACTCATCTATATTCCATCAAGCATGGTCACTCTACTGAGACTCTTTTGGACTATTTTATTTATCTATTTATTATTTGTTACTGGCGCAGCCCTACCCCATTTCTCTGTATTTATACACTGTACATGTCTACATGTCTGTCTCTCTTAAATAAAGAATTATAATGCATATAATCAATTTGTGTACATTTCACAAATGCTAGCAAAAACCACAAATGAATAATGTTTAATAGTATTTAATCCTTGCTTTACCGTTAATATCCGCTAGAGGGAAGCATTGGAAAGCACAAGAAATGCTGTAGTACGAGACAGAATGCAAGAAAGAGTGAGGAAGGAAATTCAGCTCAAATTAACTAACCGCTGCAGGAGTAGGGTGACCACATTTCCTAACGGCCATTCGGGGACACGTACTTTCACAAGTACATTTCATCAAATTTATCCTTGAGACTGGCAAAAACATGTCTGCATTTTCAGTATTTCTGCAAACATTAACTGGCTACTTAGACAACTCTTAAGAAATAGAAATAGAAAACAAAACAAGTGGCATTAAAGAACAGTTTTTTTAATTTCTTTTTTTCTTAATGAGGAACTTTAAATAAAAAAAAAAGAATAATTTACTAACATTAAACAACAGACTGCAAAACAATTCCATACATTTCTTAATGTATACATAACCAATATATTACTCTACAATATATTCTTGAAAATAAGCATAATATTAACAATACAGTAAATTGGAAAATTATCTCTGAAAATGTTAATACTGATTCTAGTTTGCTCATCAAACTCTTCCATACTACACTACATGGCACCAGCTCAGTATCTTTTGTTTTAACACTAAATGTCTAAATATATATTTCTTGTCACTTGTCACAGTTTTTTTTATTTTGTTTTACAAAGCTGTACATTGATTTTTAAATTGATTTTCACCTGAATTTTCAGATTTTATTAGCTCTATGCTATGTATTCCTTGTGTCAGACCCATCCCATCATGCTGAAGACTCTTTCAACTGCTGCATTTGAGCATGGAATGCTGATGACAAAAGCAACCACTTTTAAGAGGTTTGGCAGTTTTTCAGGTCCAGCTTTCATGAATATTGTTGACCATATAACATCAGTGTTGAGGTCATCATCCACTTCAGTACTGGTAGAATTTGTTTGAAGGTGTGGACAAACACAAGTATATTCTTCATAAAGGTCATCCATTGAAAAAGCGTCTTCTAAATTCAGACTTTCAACTGTTGCCACCAGGTTTTCAAACGTAAGGTTCTCCTTCCGTCTCACCATCTTTATCCACAATAAATTGCCATATAACTTTAGGTGTTTCATCTTCACCACTGCTTTGAAAGTAAGCTTTTACAGCTGGCCAATTTTATAAATCTCTTAGTAATTATATAACTTCAAAATTAGACTTTCCACATCACAGTTTAAGACATCTGAAGCCTTTTTAGCTGTATTATGAAGGATATGAGCTGGACAGCCAGCTGGCAATATCAGATCATCTATAGCATGAAGCTTCTGGTGGATGTCACCTTCACCACCATGACCGATTCCAAACTCTCACAGAGTACAATATGCTCTATGACTGTTACCAGTCACTGTTGTTATGCAAGTGTAAGTTGTTTTCCATTAATCTCGGAATTGGCACATTTGCTTTATCTTTTTTTATTTTGCCGCTTCTGAAGAAGTCGAAGGCCCCTGTTCACCACTGCTGCTAACTATATTGGAATATTTTAGCACCAGTGATTCACGTAGCAGTTGGTTCTGATCAGAAGACAAACACAACAGAAGGGATACCTTAGGAAATTCCAGTTCTCTAACGTCATGCCTCTCAACAGTCCAGATTTTAGGGTCCTGTCCTGCCATCCTGAATGTGTTCCCCAGTGTCCTGCTTTTGGGACCAAGGAACTGTCCCCAAAAACTGTAGCATGAGCCGTGAAATCTTTAGAAGTGTTTGTGCTACACTAAGGATGTTGGGACCCTGCAGAGAGAATTGGAACAGTGCTCTCTGCATGGTCTACCTTTGGTGGGCTGGCCGGGTTGATTTGCAGGAACCTGGAATGTATTGTGCAATCGCATCACTGGCCCACCCCATTTACTTCCCTCCCACCAGCATCTAGTGATGTTGGGGGGATATGCAACATTAGTAGTGGACATGTGGAGAGAAGCGCCATACACTTATTACAATCTTTGAGTCACATCTGCCCACTGAGAAGGGGGCGGGGCCAGAGAGGGGGTGTTTTGTCATCACCAAAGACAAGCACGCCCCCTCTCAAAGTGAGCATGTTGGTTCAATGCTCTTGAAGTGTGCAATGTGTGTGTGTGTGAGGGGGGTGCAGTGTGTAAAGGCTGCAGTGTGTGAGAGGGGTGCAGTGTGTCTGTATGAAGGGTGTAGTGTGTGAGTGCAGTGTGTGTGGATGAAGGGTGCGGTGTATGAGGAGTGCAGTGTGTGTGAAGGGTGTAGTTCATGTGTGTGTTTGACGTGCAGTGGGGGAAGAGGAGTGCAGTGTGTGTATGTGTCTGTGTGAAGAGTTCAGTGTGTGAGTGCAGTTTGTGTGTCTGAGGAGTGCAGTGTGTGTGTGTTTGGTGTGCAGTGTGAGGCAGTGTGTGAGAGGTGCGTGTGTGTGTGAGGGGTGTAGTGTTTGTGAAAGGTGCATTGTGTATGAAAGGTTATGTGTGTATGAAAGGTGGTGTGTGTATGTGTGTCTGTGAAGGGTGCAGTGTGTATGTAAGGTGGTGTGTGTATGTGTGTGTCTGTGTGAAGGGTGCAGTGTGTATGTAAGGTGCTGTGTGTATGTGTGTGTCTGTGTGAAGGGTTCAGTGTGTCAGGAGTGAAGTGTGTGAAGGGTGTAGTTAGTGTGTGTGTTTGGTGTGCAGTGGGGGGGTAGGGGACAGATGAAAGTAATTCATAAATATGTCTTTTTATTTAAGAAAAAAAATCTATACTTTATGTCCCCCCTCCCAGGCAAAGGTAAAAAGGGAGGGGGGATATAGAGATGAATCCCTGGTGGTCGTAGTAAAGGTGAATCCCTGGTGGTCGCAGTGATGAATTGACTATTGTGTGATCGAAACATTGTCATGGCAATCTACTCTCCCTCCCCAGCCGATGGCCGCTTGTTAGTGCGAGTGTGCTGGTGAGGGAGATCTTTGATCTCCCCACCAGCCCATAAAGGCACACAGCAGAGCCGGTGCTCGGATAGTGCCGGCTCTGAATGGACCAGTCGGGGGGATCCTCATCTCCCCAGCCTGCCTCGGCCCACGGCAATCGTGGCCCACCAGGCATTTGTCCGGTTTGCCCGATGGCCAGTCCGGGCCTGCTGTAACACTGACTCTCAGGGTCTCTTTGTCTTGTGCCACTCAATTTGCATGAATTTACTTCAATATTTGTATTGTAAATGTGCATGACAGTAAGTGCACTCCCTGTGCAATGTCTTGGAGTCGCTTTGTTAAGGAGCATCTTAATCTGTTCTATAAAAAAAGTAGGAACAATTCAACCAAGTCGGTAGTACTGTAGTCTTCACTCCTTAGTTGTGAACTTGAGAGACTCTCCGACTCACTCACATACATTCTCTCAGCTCAGCAGTGCAGCACCGGTCTTTTCCTCCTAGGCTGCCGCTTGACGTCACGTGACCCCGGACGCGTGACGTATAGTGTTCACGTGGTCATGCTACTTGGTGCAGCAGGGCAGGGGAGGAGACACACAGCCACAAAGAAACAGCGGTGGTGCAGCTCAGCTCATTCTGGGACACTACATTGTCCTGGAATGAGGGTGCCCGGACCTGGGACAGACTCTCAAAATGCGGGACTGTCCTGGGCGATGCGGGACTGTCCTGGGCGATCCGGGACACGTGGGCACCCTATGCAGGAGCAAAGTTAAACTTTAAAACTTTGTAAAGTAGAAGAAACACTATAGGGTCAGGAACACAAACATGTATTCCTGACAAACATAGTTTTAAAAACACCATCTAGCACCCCCGGGCTCCCCTAACTGTAGTAAAATCTTACCTTTATTTTAGTCTGCTGATGGTGGCACTGCCTCTAATCTGCCTGTTTGGCTGACATCATTTTATAATTATTTATTATTGAAAAAGGTGTAAGTTGCTCCCAAAGTCTGGGAGAGCTCATTTCACCTAAAAAAAGAGATTTGCAATGAGGGAAATGATGTATACTGGAAATGCCTGGGGGCGGTAGGCTTGTCTTGTCAGGTCTTCTGTGGCAAGTGAAGGAGTGACCTTCCACTCAACGGATATGCTTTTAAACTGCTTCAAACTTCCTGTCTCCAAATATAAAGAAACTTTGTCATGACTCTTTAATCCCTGCTCTCTGGCTGTGACAAGACTTCCCCCAATGTTTTGTGCCCGGTTTGAGACAGTGGAGGAGATACGCCCGAGGGAGGAGAGTATGGCCATGGTGAAGGGGTGTGTTGAGCTACATGAGAAGGTATAGAGGCCGTGGCAATTTTACCTTAGCGACAGTGAACTACTTAGACAGGGCAGGTAAAGGAGAATATGATGAGTGTTTATTATGTACACCTGACGGCAAGTTGTGGACTCATCTGCAAAGGGAGTCTGAATGGATACTTCCATTAGTATAGATGTGGGGTACCTATACCCACCCCCTCCATCTCCTGCTCCCCCCCCTCTTTTTTGTCTCCCCTTATTTACTTCTTTTCTCAGCACAAAGAAACCCTATCTACTCTTTTCTAATCTTATTTTCTCTTCTCTTACCTGTTGGATGGGTATCTACTTTACCAAGTGCTCAAACTTTTTCCAAGCTACAACAAAGCCATCACATTGATCGCACTTAAGAAATGGTCCTGTCGAGATCGATGGGTCAAAGCGACATTCTAACACTGGGATACTGGCATTATCAGGTCCCATATGTACCCTTATGCGAAAGGGATTAAAGCGTTGACATATGGTTCTTACCCAAGCTGTTGCCTCGTGTCTTGCTTTGTTACCTATGTAAGTATTGATCCCATAAAAGATGTTAATAAAAATTGTCAAAAAAATAAATAAAATAAAACTACAAAAACTGTTAATAAAATATTTGAAACTAAGGAACATCACTACAATATATTTTAAAATAAAAAACAAATAAATTACATAATAGCCTAGCAAATATATACATATTTGAAACTCGTATCATCTGATTAGTTCTTAAGTTTAGGGATATATAAAATATTTTGCTCACTGAAGTCCATTCACATTCCTTAGAAATACACCAACAATTGTTTTGATCCACCTGAGCAGTCTTAGCGTTTCATTGCAACTCAGGCTGAATAAGTGTGGGTGTTGGGATGACTTTAATAAATCCCCCCCTCTCCCTCCTCCCAATAAATTGTAGTTGTATGGGTACTTATAATGCCCCTTTTACTTCATGTCTGATATATTTATTAATGTTTTTTTTATTTTTTAAATAGTATAACAGATAATATAATAATGACAAATACAATAAATGTATGAACTGTTGTCAAATAAAACTGATAAGTGAAATACACAAACTATACAACAATTGGAAATGAATAGATATAAGGTGATTTCTCTCCTGAATGGGGCGGGAGGTAACCCCTAGTGAATAAATTCACTAACAATGTACAAAAAATAGACAGGAAAATCAGGAGGAGTAGGAAGTAGTATCCTATGAAGTGGGAGCCCAAGGTGGGCTTTAAATAGATCATGGTACCTCACAAAGAAAGAATCCACCTTCGGGTGGAGTTTATAATACTGAACTTTTAATACGGTAACTAAAACCTAACACCCAAAACTATGTGCACAATATACAATAAAATCAAAACAACATAGGACATAGGAAGACATAGGGTGAGGAGAATTGTCTTCTAAACAGTGCTTAGACTCACACTATATCCAAGTATGATAATGGATACACAATGTATTAATAAACCAACCTAGTATGATACCAAAGCTGGGTTTAAATGGAGAGTGGTAGAGCCAACATTGTAATAAAATATGAAAGCTAAACGTAATTTTATATGAACCGCAGAAACAGGGAGATAGTAGAAGGTAGTTACAGAGCGAAGTAGCTAAAGTGGGAGCTGTAGTAATAGAAGCTGGTTAAACTTAGAGATGTGTTTAGTTTTGATGGTGTAGTTGACACAGTAGGTTTCAAATTTTGTGTAGGATTCTTATGTTTTTCTTGTATTCTAAAAGCACAACAGAAATAAAGAATATAATATTTTTTTTTTAAGTTTGAAAGGGGTACCATCTATAAATTAATTTGTAGTGGGGTTCTGTAGATTATTATAAACTATCTAAAGAAAATAAAGCCTCACCAAAGTGTAAAAAAATGCTACTAATGCAAAACAGTAT